CTAGGCAGGGACTAGATGGGGGCCTAGGCGAATTCAAATAAATTTATTATATATTGTATTAATAAGTGCCTATTTATACTTAAAAAACACATAATTATATTGAGATACATAAACTACATAATAAAATGACATATAGATTATAAAGTATTAGAACATATTGAAAACATGCGAAACAAGCATATAATGAGTGTTCATCCAAGTATTTAACAAGTCTATTATATTTTATTTAAAAAATAAAATACAAAATGAAAGTTATTGATTTTCTTTCTAAGTGGGAGTCGCAACCTAGGTGGATGCCTAGGAGAGCTAGGCGGACGCTTAAGCGGGTCTAGGTGACATTTCTTAATTTTCAAACGCCCAGGGACTAATCGGTATGGTGGCCAACCGTCTAGCATCTAGGCAAGGATTTTTAGAGCAGTGATGACAAGCACCTGATTGAATCTTGTTTTCGGTACACTACGAATCTGATGAACTCCAGCAACCTACATCCCAGACAAAAAACATATGAATACAACCTTGAGCGAGCAAAGTATAAAGAAATGGCCAGCTGATGTTGTATGCAATAGATTAAGAATTTGTACTTACAGAACGGTATATTCTAATTCCTTTTTATTTCCTGTATAAATACTATTTTACCTATGCAACCTCGGGGTACCTTAGTTCTGACAGATCGATTATCCATTTTTTGCTCATGAGACTGATGAGATCGTGTTCTTATTTGAGGTGCATATATACCGTTAAGGGGTCCTAATCTTTTCGACTTGAGTAGCCTGAAAAAAACACATAGAGCCTTGCCAAGAACTACCTTGTACGGAATAACTCATGCTTCTTTTCCATGTATATATGCATGGCCAAGTGAATCGTAGCTTCCTTATCATCCAACCCAGCTTTCAGTAAATGTGATTCTGATTGGTCAATGCCACCAGAAGTGTGAAGCTCCTCATGTCATATATATACAGAAGGAGTTTAGCAAATACGCGCGAGGAAGGTAATAGTCAGTAAGATTTCTCTATATTAAAAACCTGCATTTTGAACATTATGAGTAGATTATTTAGTCAAACACAAGTTGTCGACCTTTTGGTCACTGGATTTACAGGAATGCTCCATTCTTGGTGGAAAAAAAAACTTCACTGAACAATCAAGAAATGAGATTAAAAATGCAGTCAAAAGAGACGAAGATGGTATACCCATCTTTGATGAACATATAGGACGAGGAGTCCCAAATGCAGTTAACACATTACTTTTCACCATTATAGAACATTTCATAAGAACACCAGTAATGTCACCTCTAGGATTCATGACCCAACTTTCCAGAATGGTTGATTACTATCTTCTCTAAGCATGACTCTAGACATGAAAACAACTTTGTACCACCTAACATCACTTAGATTGCTAAGTTACTCATAATGTTCAAAATGCAGGTTTTCAGTATACAGAAATCTTACTGGCTATTACCTTCCTTGCGCATTTGCTAAACTCCCTCTTAGCTCATGCGATCTGCTCATGCCAATCCTATGGACTTATTGTTTGGAACATGCTTTACTGTTTGGGTTGAGAGTAAACAATCCTTCTTAAAAGGTTAACAAATGAGATAAGCTGTAACTGATAAACTGAAAGATGAACAAATGTAGTGATTATAAAGATGATAACTCAGAATTTCCCATTACTCCATCAATTCCGGCATAGTCAGCACAACCATCTCTGCCTACCATCCCGGAACAGCCATTATCGGACATTAGTCCATCATCATCACTCAAAGTAACACCTATGGACTTCTGATGGTTGAATTTATCCCACCACTTGACTAATCTGGTTCTATAAACTTCACATATTTCAACTTCATAATTCCACTTCATATATATATATATATATATATATATAGCTACAAGGGCGGAGCCAAGTACAGGGCTATCCTGGGCTATAGCCTAGGTAACTCATGTGGGTACAAACCAATTATTCCCTATGTTTCATTTATTTTTATATTCATCTCACTATTAGTCCATGTATTTTTTATTTATTTATTTACTTCATTAACCAATACTATTTATTTCCTAACAAAATCTATTTTACACTTCATATACTCTCCATTTATAGTTATTTGTGACAATAATTACTTACTCTAATAGTGCTTTTAATTCTTTTCAAAAGCAACTCATTGCATGTTTTAGTTTTTGAATTATTTTATGCATGACTTTTATCTATTTAAAAAAGTTTTACAGTGTGTTAACCTTTTTCTGTTTATTTATGTATATATTTGCCATCTTAAAGGTTGATGAACATAGAATAATTGGACAAGCTTTGCTTGTAAGATTAACGTATAGTCATTTTTTTAAAAACCAACTATTTTTTTAGACTTCTTAGCTAGCTTATCGGCCGAAATTTTTTTGGCTCCGTCCTTGTATAGCTAGTACTTGAGGGTTTCTATATATCTATTGACCCTAAAAACTACATAGCGTATGAGGCGCGTAGGTCAAGTAACTTAATGAGTTAACTATGTCATTCGTTGGTTGATGGCTGATATGGGCATCCCAATTTACTACTAAGCTCGGCCAGAAAAATTCTTTTGAATGTGGTGGTATGATGGAATGTGTTCCTGACTTCAGAATCAAGTGACCTTGGTTGAGGAAGCAACACTCTCAGCCTTGGATTCTATAGGTTGTGCAACTCGCTACGAAGTTCAGGGTCTTCTACACTGGGTTCGGCAACCTCAACTATTTTAGTGAGAATATAGGTCCGTCGAACTGGAATTAGATTGTAGAGACAAAGATACTGAAAGGAAATGAGTGTCTTTATAGTAAAAGTGGTTCAGTCGTTGATATGTTGAACTTTAAATGTTACGTGAGAATATCTAATCCTAGAAAAATCCAGTTCATCGAGAAAGCTAATGAAGTGAGGTTGTTGGGCAAAAAAAGTCAAAGACTCTTCTCCAGGAAAGACTTGGGATAAATAACCAGTCGAAAAAGGAGAACTTATTATTTAACCAAATTTTCAAGACTCCTTAACCAAGCTAATTCTATGACTTCAGTAATGTTTAGCCAAATTGTCACCTTCACCAGTTGCCTTTAGAAAATTTTGTTTAAGCAAACTGTAATCACCCATCGGCTACCAACTCAAACCTGTTTAACTGAATTGAATTTGTGTTGACTTGTTAGTGGAGTAGTTAGTGTTTATTTATTTTTATTATTTCCTTTTTCTATTTTATTATTTAATAAAAGGGTAAAGTTGTGAATTTAATAGTAGAATTTTGACTGAAGAGGTTATGTGAAAGTGAATTAAAACCTGAGGGCTATTAGTGTAATGTCTCAAATTTGAGGGGGTTTTGTGAAATCTCGATAAACCTCAAGGAATTTATTATTTAATTAATTAGTTGTAAGGGTAAAGTTGTCAATTTATTAGCAGAATTTTGACTAAGGGAGTTATGTGAATGTGAATTAAATCCTGAGGGGTGTTAGTTTGATGTCTCAAATGTAAGGAGGTTTTGTGAAAACTAGATAAACCTTAAGGAATATTAGTGTAACTGACCCTATTCAGGAGTATGCATGAAGTAGGCTTAACAATTTCTGACACGACCCGTTAACCCAATATGAAACGACATGAAATTAACAGGTTATCAGGTTGACACGATACGAATCAGGTCGTTATAATAAGCACCTGTTAAGATAACGGGTTGGTCCGGGTATACACGTGGATAACCTGATACACGATAAGTAAAGTATTAATTTAATAATTTTATACCCCTAAAAATAATATAATAATTATATATATATATGTATGTATGTATATATATTAAATTAAATATAGAAAATTTGGAAAATGAGGTAATATTTTAATATGATATAGTACTATTGTTTTATTTATTTTCATAGTTATTTTGGTAAACTTCCCATAATTTGAATGATTAACAATATTTGGTTTTTCTATACTTAGTTTACGCAGAAGAGAGTCCTCATATGGAAAACCTTACCGAAAACATTATCAACATAACTCTTAAAGGCAACAGATCGAGCTAAAGTTCCAACACATTTCTCCATGATGATCAATGAAAATTAAAGGATTTTGTAAAAGGAATGATGTGCAACCTTTTAGTTTCATTGACAAAGTTTTAACTTCTGAGAAAGGCTTCACAACTTTGAAAAGAAAAACTCCTTCGTTTTGCATATCCTTGCACATTTGATATTTTGTAGTAGACTAGTAGTGCATTGTTGCTTTTTTATTACGCTCTTATTTTGGAGTGTAGATGTAATACTAAACGACAAATGTGTTTTTAGGTTTTGAAGTAATATTTATGTGGCAATGTAGTAAGTGCAAATTTAAGGAAAAAAAATATTTTTCTTAACGGGTCATAACGGGACGGGGTCATTTTATCTGTTAAGTGACCCACTTATTAAGGACCCATTAAGATAATGGGTGTGACATGACACAACCTATTAAGATAATATGTATTACACGAAAACGACACGAAACACGACAAACACGACCTGTTTGCTAGGCCTACATGAAAGAAAAAAGTTGTGTAGAAATTATTTTTTTATCATTATATTCTTCTTAGTTTTTAAACAGTTGCTTCCCTTTGGGTATAAAATGCTTAATTTAGAATTTTTGGCTTAGGTGTTTGACTTGTTTCTCTGGCATTTTGCTTTCAAACGTTAAGGTAAAATCTCTTTAAAAAAATTAACTTGATCGGGTTTAGTTGTCAAATTCGAGCATATGCTAGGAATTTAATATTTATTGGCGACGAAATGAGCAAAATCTGTAATGTTTTTAGGCATGATCTTGCCCTAAAATGACAAACAAACATCTGTAGAACTTCAATTACAAGAAGAAACATTGTAACCTTCATCTACAATTTTGACATCAGAAAGGCCTGCAGCAACAATACAAACCCTAATCACCTCGTTTTCTTTAGGGTTCTTTCAACCCTAAACCTTATAAATGTTGCCCTTGTGGCCAACCATCTCATCCCACAAGGGCCACAACCAAACATTAATAGCACAATATTGAATAATTCTACAATTAAATCATTCAACTATGGCAGCTCTCAAAATTTTTTCACTACTAATTGCTTCAATCGCCTTTGTTCAAATGGCAATGGCCGGAGACCCGGACATTCTTACCGACTTTATTGCTCCTCCAAACGTAACAATAGATGGCAACTTCTTCACAAACACCGCATTTCGCGCTCTTGTTGGGGGCGGCCCTCCCACAGCTTTCAAGATATTAAAGGCAACCATGGCTGAGTTCCCCGCTCTTAATGGCCAGAGTGTTTCATACGCCACCCTCGAATTCCCATCTAAAAGTACCAACCCACCACACACTCATCCTCGCGCTGCTGAACTCCTTTTCCTTATTGAAGGTGCCCTCGAAGTTGGTTTCGTGGACACCAAAAACACACTCTTTACACAGACCCTTCAAGTAGGTGATCTGTTTGTATTTCCCAAGGGGCTAGCACACTTTCAGTACAATGCTGATCCACAAGTCCCAGCTCTGGCAGTTTCTGCCTTTGGAAGTGCAAATGCAGGAACTGTATCAATACCCAGCACCTTGTTTGCCACCGGCATTGACGACAATGTCTTGGCTATCTCCTTCAAGACCGATGTCGCCACCATTCAAAAGCTCAAGGCTGGACTTGCACCCTAGCCATGAGGACAGAATTGTTAACCAGAAGTTCAATGTTCTGCTCAAGCAATTTTCTATCCTTTTGTTTTCTTCTAATTTTGTTTGAATAATTTACCCTTAATGTATTCAAAGGGCATGTTTGTTTCCTACAAATGATTTATGGTCAACCAACAAAAATCTTCCCTCTCTTTTCCATTGCTTTTCCTTATTGCCAAACGTCCTAAAGTTAAACTGTACAGAGAAATAAACTCATCCGAGATAGCAAGTAAAACAGAATTATGCTCTAAGCCTATAAAACAGGCCAAAAAGAAAAGGCAGCATATAAAATCGTACCCGTGTGTAAATCCAAATTCTTAAAGTAAAAGCTCAGTTAGAGAGGACAAAAAACTATATAACATTCCAGTTCTTCAATGCTAATAACGCCATAAACTACATCCGCCCCCAAAATTTATGGATAAAATTGTCGGAGATGAAACATATGCAAGTCACTTACAGTTTTCTACCTCTTCTACCACCCTTTCTTCTGGTGCTGTCAGTGGAAATTGGAGTCACATCCTCTGGAAAACAGAAAGCAAGAATGATTCAAGACCACCACCGATAAAGCATTGGCATACAAAGTTAAATCGTTCTAGGTTCAGTCAGTACATTACTATATCTCACAACAGAAACCTCTACCAAATCATCTAGGCTAAAACGATGACGAGGATAGGTTGCAGTCTTTATAGTCGTCAAATAGTGATCTTAAACATTTTTTGAGAAATAAAAGGGCTTTATCAATCTGGCCAATCCTCATTCCAGATCGAGCAAGGGCCCGTAATGCAGAGTGAGTGCCTGGACCAGGAGTCTTGGTTTTGTTGCCTCCAGTGGCACGGAGCTTAATATGAAGAGCAGTAATTCCAAGTTCCTGTTCAGAATTGAAAGTACAACTCATCTTACTGATTAAACTATATCACTTGGTAGCAAATCAACCATAACTATTCAGGCTGGCAATAGTATTCAGTTTCTAATCATTAACGTAGTTAATGGGAGATGAAGATGACCTTGCATCTCTGAGACACGTCCTGTGCAGCAAGCATGGCCGCATATGGTGAAGACTCATCCCGATCAGCCATCACCCTCATACCACCTACATTTAGTTCATATGTTAGAATTTTGACTTCAGATACAGCTACTCAGGCCTACAACCACTGCGAGCAAAACATAGAACCCCAAATACCGTTAAAGAAAAATACAAACTACAATGACAATGCGGAAACAGCCATGTCAAATATTCACATCAAAATTGGAACCAACTGATAAAGTTCCTAGACCAGCCAATCTTAAGCTTGAGAAATATTCACGACTAATTTTGGGCACGCCCAGTGCGCAGAACTGAAGCCTCCGTATAAGCTCCAATATGACTCAAAAAAATTTATGGGAAATGTATGTCTTTCAAGGGGTATGGAAATCAAGCATTCAAGAAACAATTTCTCCACTATCTAATGCTGCAAATATACCTCATTTAGACAAGGCCCAATCGCAACCAAATGTGGTTTGAATCGGATGTTACTACATCTATAAATTTTTAATGTTTCATACTTCAGATGAGTATCTACCTGATAAACTTGGGTATTAAGTAAGACAAGAAAAATAAACGCAAGAATTATGGAATCAGAATCTCTGATATAATTGATGACGGGTCAAGCAACTTAGCTTGTCCTCATGCTATCAGCAGTACACATGCAGGCATATGATAATTTCTTACCATTCTAATGTAAAGTTGTTACATCTTGTTAGCTTGATTAGTGAATTAGTAGTTAGTTACCAGAACGCACAAATGTGGCTTCGGCTAATCTTTGTTATTGTCCATAATATAGATCTGTACATGTGCTTCTGCTAAAGTAACGAGAAGTAGCTTAGACTTTCACAGTGACTACAACAATAAGAAATGATATGACACGTAAAGGTAGTGCGCATAAGGGTTTCTCTTCCAGACAAATCAGTGGAGCAGTTGTAAAACAGAAAGAAAATTACTCTATCCAACTGAAAGATGACAGATGACTGATGTACAGTATTAAGCACAGACTACAATACTGATAATTATCATGAAAGTATCATCACTGCTAGAAAATATGGCTTTCTCTACAAACATTTACGCGATGGAACAGATTTCGTCATGTAAACGAACTTTACCCAACGGATATTTCAATTGGAAGGGCGAAGACGATCAATATTCCGGGTTTACTCAAAAGCTTTACACGACGAACTATTGTCATAGTGCAAGTAAAATGTCGTCAAGCAACATTTTGGCTCGAAGTAGAAAAAAAATGGCGCGGAATAGCAGGGGGTTTGCCTGACGAATTAAGTATTCGTTGACTAATTCTAATAATATTATTAAAAAATTTGTAGTTACTGCGAACCCCCACCATTGGCTTGCACTCCTTGCTCTGGTAGTACTTACTATTATGATTTATACCACCAATATATTACTCCTTAGACCTCCATAACTAAAGGTGCACCTCCTTCCCAAACAATTAGGGTTTTTTTTTTTTCTTCAATATGCTAGTTTCCATAACTTTTACATGAAAGCTTACATTCTATTTAATGGAAGTATAGAAAAAACACTAAGTGTTTTGGAATCGATTATTTACAAGGGGACACACATTCTACAAAACTAGTTTCCACGATCCAACCGTCAAACATGTTTGCATATACTTCGAGATCTGCTCCGCCAAAATCACCCAAAACAACCGTTCGGAGATTAGGTAACTGAATAAAATAATTCGACGTTTAGAAATTAAAATTCACAATTTAACGGTCATTTTTGCTTTGATTTGGTTCAGTTTTTTGCAAATGCAATCCTCGACCCAACAAGAATAAGATGAATGAACCCAATCATGAATTAATTTTTGTTTAATAGCATATACAACAAAAACTTACGTTGTACTTAGTGGAAGTATAGAAAAAAAAAAAAGGGAACTTTAACGAAAAGCTCCCGGTGTATATACTCCGAAATCTCTTACGCAAAAGATCACCTAAAACAAATGTTTGGAGATTAGGTAACAAGATGAAATCATTCGATGGTTAGAAACTAAAATTCACGATTTAATTGTCGTTTTAGCTCCGATTTGGTTCATTTTTTACAATGCCCCAAATTGAAAGTAAAAGCACATACTAAATTTACCTGGTCATCAAATTTGATGATTTTTTGAACAGTTTGAACTTAACGTTCAAAAGTAGGTAAACGCTATTTTTCTTTTAAGTTTGCCCAACAGAATACTTGTATTTGTCGAGCGAACTTTCTAAATTCCGTCAGCTTAAGGTTTAATTCCGTCGGGCAATGTCAATAAAAGGATGCCCACAAATTTCCCCAAAAATTGAAATTGGCCCCCAAACTAGTAGAGCAAGTACAAGTATTAGTAACATAGCAAAAATTTGTTCCTTATCATTAATATGTTTTGCCGCAGTAATTGTGGCCTCTCGAGCGAATCGATGATTGCATCTTTTATGCACTTGCTTTGCTATGTTACTAATTTCCCCCAATTTTTTTTTTCACCAAATTTTACAATTTCTAGTAACTTTGCCAAATGAAATCTTAGGGTTATGAACACGTGTCAAAATTTTTAAAATCTTTGCCCAACAAAGTCGAAATTTTTAGTTGTAACGGGAAAATGGATGGTATACCACGTGTTTTTATGTAAGTGGTGGGAAATTTTATATTTAAGTTACTAACTTTTTAACACACATATCTCACCATTTATATAGCGACACGTGGTATACTACCCCATGTGTGACGGTCACACTGAAAAATTTCTCCAACAAGTGTCAGACAAGTTTTTAAATTGTTATAGGAGGCAGATTGTCTGCCCTATGTTTGGCTGCCCTTCCCATCCTCTTCTATTTGTGCGGTCACGTTAAGTCACGTCAACATTTTATATTCCTATTATTTTTTGTCTTATTATCTCTATAAAAAAATCAATATAAAATATTAACATGGCTTAACCGTGACTGTATAAAATAAAAGGGATGTGAAGGGTACCAAACAGGAGGGCAGACAATTTGCCACCATTGTTATAACCCAGATCCTTCTTCTTACTTCCTCCTCACGCAGTTCAAATTCAGAACCTCTCCCTCAGTGCTCTCTTTCTCTCAATCTCTCCCTCTCAGATCTCTCTCTCGATCTCTCTCTCAGTCCTTTGTCTCTCAGTCCGCATGCCATGAGCAACCACCATGCCAACCACCAAGATCCGAGAGCAATCCCTCTCTCTCAATCTCTCTCTCATTGTAAGTTTTTAATTTCGAATTTGCATTTGTGAAATGTTATTTGAATTTCGTTGTCCATATTTGTGAATTTTGTATGTGAATTTCATTGTGAATTTGGTGGAATCTGGATTTGTGAATTTTAATGTGAATTTAGATTGTGTAGGGTTTAGGGGTGGGTACGGTTTAGGGGCGGGGTGGTGTATGGTGGGGGTGTGAATTTCATTGTGAATTTGGATTTGTGAATTTGGTAGAATCTGGATTTGTGAATTTTTATGTGAATTTAGATTGTGTAGGGTTTAGGGGTGGGTACGGTTTAGTGGCGTGGTGGGATGGGGTGGGGTTTGGTGGGGGTGGGGGGACCAGTTTAGGGGTAGGTACGAGGTGGTTTTAGGTGGTGCTGTGTTGGCCAGGAGGTAATGATGGTGGTGGTGGGGTGGGGAGTGTACGGTTTAGGGGTAGATATTGGGTGCTTTTAGGTGGTGGAGTGTTGAGCATGGGGTAGTTGTGGTGGTGGGGTGGGTACGGTTTAGGGGTTTGTTCGTGATTGTGGTAGTGAGTGGGCATGGAGGTGGTGGTGTGGGCACGAGGTTGAGGTGGTGGTGGTTATGTGAAATTCTTAATTGGGTTAATTTATTTTAAACTTGAATTTGTGGGTTAGTTTAGAAATTATTTGAAATATTCAATAATTTTAGAAATTGTTTGAAATATTCGGCAATTTTAGAAATACGAAACATGTGAAACTTTTGAAATACATTAGAAATTATGTGAAATTTTAGAAATTTTAGGAATTATTTGAAATGTTAGGCAATTTTAGAAATTGTTTGAAATTTAAGGAATTTTAGCAAATTTTAGAAATTATGTATTTTTTTCACAGATATTTTCCCATGTGATCACAAGTGGCTGCCTTTCTGCTTCCACCTCTACTCAGAGTGAGCACTGGGCCCCTAATGCCACTTTGGCGACCAGCGGGACCTAAGTGGCCACTGTCGAATCGGTTGTCGGCAGGAGTACGTATGCGCCAATGACTTAGGCCACCTAATCTGCAAGGCAACTCCATAACCGTAGTCGTCACCAGCCTACGCTAGCACCCACCTCTGCCCTATCTCACCCTTTCTCAAGGCAGCGCTGAGGCTGAATCCGTAACCCTGGAGGAGTTGTTGGAAGGAAACATCCCCGCAGGCTTGAGGACTAAAAGTACTACATGTTCCCAACGTCGGCCAACAAACTCCTCATTTGGCCTGTCTTGAAATACAGACCAAGGAGTCTGATATGTGTGCAAGTCAATAGACGATAAACCCATAAGGCGCAAGCAAGCTGATTGGTGGGATCCCCTTGAAGGTTACACCGCCGACCAACCTTGATCTTCTAAGAAGGATTCGAGTGTGAGCATGCCTGCTGGGACCTGAAGGGTGGTGAACTATGCTTGAGCGAGGTGAAGCCAGAGGAAACTCTGGTGGAGGCCCGCAGTGATACTGACGTACAAATTGTTTGTCTAACTTGGGTATATGGGCGAAAGAGTAATTGAATCGTCTAGTAGTTGGTTCCCTTCGAAGTTTCCCTTAGGATAGTTGGAGCTCATAAACAAGCTTTATCAGGTAAAGCCAATGATTAGAGTCATCAGGAGCGACACACCCTTAACCAATTCTCAAACTTTAAATAGGTAGGAAGGTTCGGTTGCGTCGCTGAGTCACGCCATGGAATCTAAAGCTCAAAGTGGGCCATTTTGGTAAGCAGAATTGGCGAAGGAAAAGTAAGGAAGTTCGTAACGTAGGAGCAGGATGGGTTCGGGAATTTGGGTCTTTTCCTTAATCCAGCTCTACTCCATCAACTGAGACTGATTCCAGACTTCATCGAGTAGAGATGGAGTTGGCGCGCCAAAGGGAATTAGTGCGCTTGTACTTCACTGTCATAGCCAAGTCCTTGTCAGCTTCTAGCATTAGGATTCTCGAGCCCTCGCCCGAACTTTTGTAGCCATTCCAGGAGCCCCCTAGCAACCATCCCAAGAGCTGCCTCGATAGTCACACCATCCCTCACCACAGTAGTTTATATTTTCTTGTTAGTTTTTGTAATATAATTGTACGAATATATTTTTTTTTTTTTGGGTTGTACACATTATATTTCCATTTTTGTAATTATATATTTAATATTTTTTAATTGTTGTTTTTTTTTATTTAAAAAACGGTCGCTCGACGGAACCGTTGTCACACAAAATGTTTACCGTAGAGATCACTTGATGACTCTGTTGTCGGGTCAAACTCACCACATTATTTAATCATGTCCTAGCTAACAACATAGCTTTCGTCGACCAAGAGTCCTTTCGTCAAGTCATTGGGTCAATGCACGGTCCCCCCACAACCACTTTCGTCGGGTCAACCCATATTTACGCAACAGAATAGTGTTTCCGTCGTGTAAGGATAGGAGTGACGAGTTTTGCCCAACTATTCTTTGCTGACGAACCTCAGTCGGCTAAAATCTTCGACGACAAATGCTGCTTTTAGCCGATAAAGTTGTTTAGTATGCGATGTGTTTTTATTTTATTTTATTTTTGTGGTACATTAAATGAGGCAAAAAATGTGAGCCACACCATACGCATGTTCTCCGTCTCGCAGAGCAGGCCCAAGGGTCCCATTTTCTTCCTTTGTTTCCCTTTGCTTTCTCCTGGACGACTGGGGAAAACCGCATCAAAAAAATATAGAACGAAAAAGGTTAGGAATAAAAAAAAAGGTTCACCTGTTCTTTTGTTCTTGCACCCAGTGAGAGTACTGTATCAATGGCGGACTAACCTTCTGAAGGGAAAGTACAATTAAAAATAGAAATGTTAATCTCAAACAACAGTTCGAAGGCCACTCTATAAAAGGCACACATACAAATTTGAAATGGAACCAAGTC